TGCCAAAGCACTCTGTGGCCATAGGTTCGATGCAGATCCCACATCAGTTTCATAAGCCATTTAGGAATGTTAACAATTTCTTGAGCCCTAGCCAGTTTCACTCAGTGGATAGAGTTGGCCTCCAGACTGAAGGGTCCCAGGCTTGATTCCGGTCGGGGGCATGTGCCCAGGTTGCGGGCTTGCTCCCCAGTGTGAGGTGTGCAGGAGGCAGCTGATCAATGATTCCCTCTCACCATTGATGTTTCTATCTCTCTCTCTTCCTCTCTGAAATCAATAAAAATATATATATTTTTTAAAAAAACTTCTTGAGACTCCTACTTCAAATGTTCACTGGTCCTATGAATCTTCCCGAAGCTTTATCTTCTTCGTGCTTCAAATACACACACTATTTACTTTTCCACTCATCAAACCACTACGCTACCGAAACACAAAATTCTTATACCATCATTTAAACCTTCCAATTGGTTATAATGTTTATGGAAAAGACAATATAAAAAAAAATCCAACTGAAATCCCAGCTGAAAGATACGTTGCCACAGTCGATGCTTTTCAATGGGACAGTATAGGAGAGAGGGAGATGGAGACAGGTGAGCGACAGAAGACAGAAAGATGGAGATCAGCAAGGGGGAGACAGAAGAAGGAAGACAGGGAAAGTACCGTTTATTGAATGCCTGTCACCTTTTGTAATCAATCCCTAATACACTCCTGTGAGGAAGGTATGCTTGCCCTCACTTCACAGATAAGAAAAATAGGAAACTTTGAAAACATGTCTAGAAAGAGTCAGGGCCACAGCTCAAATTCAGACGTGCCTGACTCCACTGCACCAGCCTGGGAAGCCAGAGAAAAGACAGAAAGTCAAAACATGACAGGGAAAGGGAGTGGGCGGGCTGAGTCAGCCACAGAGCTTCTCCGAGGGAGGGCCGGGCCGGCTGAAGTGCCTTTCATGTCCCAAGGAGAGGCTGTTCTCACTAATTAGTCACACCCGCCTCCCACCTTCTTGCTCTCAGTCTTTCCTCCTTGGCTCCACGTCTCTGTCTGCAAGCTTGTGTGCACAGTAAAGCACCCGTGGTGGTCAGGCATGGGGTCCCACAGCCACACTTCTCCAAACGGCAGTGTGTGCTGACGAAGCTCACCACCCACTCACTCTTCAATCTTTTTCAGCCTGGAGTCTTCCCTCAACCCTGCCCTAAGCTTCACCGATAATGACCCAATCGGATGGTGCTTTTTCTCAGTCAACATCAAGCCAGATCGTGGGTGACTCTTTCCAGAGAGGCTTCCTGTACCTCAGGGGTTAGTTCTGTTTCCAACACAGTGAGGATCTTGGGAACAAAATGTAATTCGTTTGGGCTACTGCCATCTGGGCTGGAATCCCTCAAAACACAATCAGATGAGTCAGCCAAGTCCTGCAGGGAAGCCCGAGTGCTCCACTCACCAGGGATCCCTGGGGTTTGTTAAATCCCAGGCGGTTCCCATCATGTCTTCTGTGGTCACTACTCAAAATGTAAGCCTCTCGGACTATTCTTTTTCCCTCCCATAAGCTCATCTCTGTATTGCTCTGTGCTTCCTTTCACGTAATCCATGGTTCCTTCCTCTCCCAAACCTTTTCACTGCTCACTCTTCACGCCTCAATCCTGGATTAAAAACTCTCTACAACGCAACCTCTGATGGATTTTCTTCCGGCTCCTTTCCTTCAATGGGACCTTGAGCTCACTGCTCCTTTATAGCATTCGTACGTGGATGCTAGCTTTTCTACAGCTCACTCATACATCTGATCGCAGAGGGGTGGGGGCAGCTGCCTCCTGACTCCTCAATCCCACTTCAAAACCATTCCTTCTCTACCCTTAAGTAAAAACCCCTGTTGCTTAGACTTTCTTGACATCCAGCTACATCTTCCTCTACTCCTCTTGTCACTCTCATCCACACACCCACCACCCGGCATCATTCTCTCGAGATCACAGCTGTTGCTCCCTTGACATCAGTGCCCGTGTGAACATGGCAAGCTGACCTCCAGTCTGCTTCTCCAGGCAGCTTCAACCCCTCACTCCATGATAACACAGTAGGTCTTGCCATCATAAGCAACTATTTTGATCATGTCATTCATTAGGTGTTGTTGTTGTTTTACCATGGTCACCAATGCCTTTTGCTATGGAAATCCAATGGATACCTCTCATTCCTTCTCTTTGCAGCATTTGGAATTGTTGACCTTCCTGAAGCTCTTCCTTGGTAACACAATCTTATAATTTTTCTCCTACTTCTCTGAGGCCTCTTTTTTTATGGGTTCTATCCACTTCCTCTACTGATCTCTAATATATTTAAATTCCTTAGGGCTCCATCCTGGACCTTCTCTTATCACTCCACATACTCCCCCTTAGCCATCTTATCTACTAACTGACTCAATTAACAACTGTATTCTGCAGATTTCAAAATCTTTATCTCCAACTCAGACTCTCTCTTGAACTTTAGACCCGAATAGTCTGAAGTTCACTTGGACATCCTATAATCACATCAAACTCAAAATGTCCAAAACTTAACTCACTATTTCCCTCTAAGATCCACATTCCTCTTTTCTCCCCGCCCCCCTCTCTCTCTCTCTATATATATATATCCTTAACCCTAACCTCAACTAGGAGCTCATTCCATCTAAGATAGGACTCCTCCTCTTCTCCAAACCAACTTCTTCTATTTCTAGTAATAGAGCTATAATTCTCCTGGTCAATCAAACTCAAAATCAGTCATGTTTGGCCCCACCCTCTCCCTCTTCATGTCCTGGATGAACTCTTCATTGTTTCCATTTTTCACATTCCTTTCCATTCTCACCTTCACTCCCATAATTTAGGCCTTTATTACGTCTTACCTAGATCCTTGCTATTCAAAGTTTGTTCCTTGACCAGCAGCATCCACATCCCCCGGGATCATGTTAGAAACAGAAGCTCAGGCTCACCGTAGGCCGCCTGGATCAGAGCCCCAAGTCGTTCATCTGCTCACTGAAGTTTGAGAAGCACTGGGCTAGACCACATCAATAAACTCCTAACTGGAATTTCTGACTCCAGTCTCCTCTCTTTAATCCATCCCACAGACCACAGTTACATAAATTTCCTTCTGATCATGTCATGCTCTCTCAACTCAACCCCCTTTAATAACTCTAATGTCTAAGGAATAGAGTCCACATCTTAGGAAGTGAGGCTCTCGGCCATCTACCCAATCAATTTCCCCAGACTTATGTACCCCACTTCACTAATATATTCTACATGTCAGGCCAACAGTACCAGGGGTGCAATATGGCAGTAGCGGAAAAGCATCCTAACCAAGAATCATATTTAGCTATGGCAAGGGCTGGTTCTATAACCTCTGGCAAAATGTTTGTCCTCTCAAATCTTAGATTCCAATTCTGCAAAACAAAAAAGTTAGATCAGCCCAGTGTTTTTAAAGCATTTTTTTGTATTGCAACCAAATAAATATGTACCCAGTATTTACATCCATATCCAGATATAAGTACAGTTTCAACTAGAACAAAAGTTGCACAAAACATTTTCTATTCTCTTCTTACCCATTTCATTTCATTTTTTAAAATGTTGGTTGCTAATCACCACATTGATTTCATAACCCACTAATGGGTCAGAACCCGAAAACTGAAAACCACTGTCGGCCCCGTCGCCCTAACAGTCCATGATTCTGGGATCCTCTTCCTTGAATACATCCTCTATTTCCCTGCTCTGTACCTTTGGTGAACACGTTCCTCCTTTCTGTAACATCTTCCCCTATTTCAGCCTCTTAAAATGAATGTATGTTTTGAGTTCTGGCTTAAATGAAGCCTCTTAAAATGAGAAAATATATTCTACTTCTTTACACATCTACAAACTAGGTCTTATTTCTTACTTGGCATTATTCACAAATGCCATGTAATAGTATTGGTGTGTATTTCTTTTATCTTGTTTTTGGATGTAAGTGTCTTGAGGGCCAGAATCTGTCTTCCATGTCTTTTTTTCCTCTGAAGCATTTAGCACAGTGTCTTATATGTGAGTCACATAAGCCTGAAAATCTTTCTCACCGTTATTTTTCCTGCAACCGTTTTTCTATGTAATCAACACCTCTAGTCTAGTTTCTTGACTCTTCTGCTTTCTACCTAGCTTTCAGCACCCTGCCTATCTTCACTTCTTCCCTCAGTTTAGAAGCCACTGACCACCAGCTTAACCTTTTGACATTCTCTTCAATTCTCTTGCCAAACGGTCTTTTCCTCTCACTTATCTGGCAAACCCCAACTCTGAATCAATAAACTGTCTACTTTCTCTGTTCCTCTATTCCAGCGGTTCTCAACCTGTGGGTTTCGACCCCTTTGGGGGTCGAACGACCCTTTCACAGGGGTCGCCTAAGACCATCAGAAAACACATATATAATTACATATTGTTTTTGTGATTAATCACTATGCTTTAATTATGTTCAATTTGTAACAATGAAAATACATCCTGCATATCAGATATTTACATTACGATTCATAACAGTAGCAAAATTACAGTTATGAAGTAGCAATGAAAATAATTTTATGGTTGGGGGTCACCACAACATGAGGAACTGTATTAAAGGGTTGAGGCATTAGGAAGGTTGAGAACCACTGCTCTATTCAAATGGCTAAGCACTGCCATTTATTTATTTATTTATTTATTTATTTATTTATTTATTTATTAATCTTCACCTGAGGATATTTTTCCATTGACTTTTAGAGTGGAAGGAAGGGGGAGAGAAAGAGAGAGAGAAACATTGATGTGAGAGAGACACATCGATTGGTTGCCTCTCACATGTGCCTCTGACCAGGGCCAGGGATCCAGCCTGCAACCCACATATATGCCCTTGACCGAATCGAATCTGGGACCCTTCAGTCCTCAGGGCCGACGCTCTATCCACTGAGCAACACTGGCTATGGTAGCACTGCCATTTAAAAAATAATCTCATGAACATGCAGATAACTTCATGATTTTCATTCTCATTAGAATATTTAATACACTCCTAGACTTTCTTGGTTTCCCTAGTTAGTTCTCTACCCCATTCTCCAATAGCTATTAAGATTTCTTCATTCCTCTCAACTCCTCTCCCCTCAACCTTTCCCCCCTTGCCTCTAAGAGGAGATTAAGCCCCTTATTAAGAGTCTCATAATATTCCTATTAACACAGCCATAGCCTTGTCACTTTGCTTCTCACTGCCCATTTAAGTCCACATTACCTTACTGGGCTTTAAGCACACTGAAAGTAAGGAATACAACTTATTCATTAGCAAAACCTCAGAACTTAATATAGTACTAAGACCTCAATAAGTATTTCTTGAATGAATAAATTAATACATAAATTATTAGTTAAATGAATGAGTACATATGCAAATCTCATGTGTCTAGGTTAATTAATTAAATGCCAATAAAACTTTAGAGAATGAAAAGTATAAAATACAAATGATTTATAACACATGTAGAATTACACCTGTTAAGAGGTCATTATTATTTCTATTCTAACGACTGGGAAAAAATGGAAGCTGGCTCCATAGACAACAGGACCTGATCGGACAGGGTAGCTGACCAGGACCCAACACAGGTGGTTTCTTGGCTAATTCTAGTGGGAACTGTAAACACAACACAAACTTTATCACAGAGCACAGCAGTCTGCCACGAAAAAGGTATTTATTTTATAAAAGATGGCCTACCTTCACTTGTTTTTCTCAGTGCAATTCTTTTAATTGGCTTATGCTTCTAGGCACACATTTGCAATGATAGCAATGACTGACAAGGTTAGGCTGTCCAGAAAACCACTAAACATCGCCCCATATCTTGAAGGACAACTTTCTTTTTTTTTTCTTTTCTTTTTTTAACTTTTCTCTAGAATATTAATGATGGCCATCTTCTTATTCTGTGTCCTGGGACTTTGCTTTGCACTGTCAGCCTGTTTCAAAATTCTCCTGTGGTGGGCGAGCCAGAGAGGCCTGCCCCTCGCAGCACTCACCCTGACGTTGTGAGGGTGCAGTCCGCCCGGGTGCTGGGACATGTACTGGGCCAGGTCCGTGTGCTACAGGAAACGGTGGAGAGACTGTTGTTAGTGGTGCTTGCACAGTGCCCTACAGCAGACCGTACATTTGACTGCCAGAGGTCGTACAAAGCTCAGGTTTTTGAGAATAAGGGGCAGAAGGCACACAGCCAGGTTTTCTGAGACCCCACTGCTGAGGTGAAACCCAGTGTGTCTTTCTAACTGGCTGCTCTTAGAAGGAAGCTCGTTTCCCGGCACAACAAGATGCTCTATTTACGTAAATGACGGTCCCCGAACACGATGACACGGGGAGTTTCCACTCTTCTCAGGGGCAAGTCAAGTACACATACCGTATGATTTCTTTCTGCTGATATTTGAATAGTTTTCCCTCTCAGAAATACTACAGTGAGTTATTCTTTAGTAAACTTATATACAATGTTTTAAAACCTGGTGGTTTATATCTTCATTATCAATTAACTGCTCAGATGGTGGTTAAAAATAGATTTTTTTAAAAAGTATAAACGTTTTATTTAGGAGACGAACTCAAAATTCGTATTAATTACTGCTGGTGAGGGGAAAGAGACAGCAAATACAATGGGCAAAGAGGCAAGATTCAAGAATAAGCATAAGAACAATAGGCTCTGTTAATCGTAATAATGAAAATTTCCATGACACTTTCCACATTGTAATGCAAATTTTATCATGCCATAAAATATTAACAGATTCATTATACAAGCACCAGGCTTTTCCCTCATGCTTTGTAAAATGCTGGGGCAACTCACCATGTATTCGAAAACGAATGTCAGTGTCTCTTTGGTGTGGATTATGTCATGCAGGAGCACAATATTGGCATGTTTCAGACCCTTCAAAAGAGAAGCTAGAAAAATTCAACAAAATGTTAACTCAATCAACGATCTTGAAAGCCCTGCTTTAAAGATATCAAGCAGTATTTATATTTTTAAACATTTCAAAGCAAGCAGTTCTGGTTTTTTATTGCTGGAAATATCTCTTGTGAAATAATATTTAAAATGACAAAGTACCTTCATTATTTGTTAAATGGTGAGTCATTGCATTTGCATACCTTACTTTTTTAATAGGCTAGAGCAGTTTGAAAAGAAATATGTTTCCATTTACCCAATCAATTTCATCAAAGCACTCAGAGCACTTTGCAAATGCTTTCCTCTGGGGATCTTATCATCTCTGCTTCAGAGTCACAGGAGAGGAGGCCTGAAAGATAAGGCAGGGGGGGGGGGGGGGGGGGGGGGGCGCCAGGAAATGGAGTGGCCTGCCTTCTAGAGCAGGACTTTGCAACACGTAATCATTTTCTAAAATTCAAAGTCCCACGGGGGCTCAGGAGGGATGCTGGGTGGGACTGGGAGAAGGCAGGGATAAGAGCATGGGGTGAAAAATGGTTAAACCATAATAAACAGTGGAGGGGACTTCTTAAGGGGAGAATTTCGAACTCTGTGGAAGGAGAAAATGCAAACTTGAAAAGGGGACAGAGCCAAACTTGGGGGCCCAGAGGAGTGTGTGGGGAGGGCTGAGGACTGTCCTTTTGCAGCTTCAATAACAGGTTGTTATTTGGTCAGTAAGAGCAGCCTTAATGGAAAAGTCACCACAAAAGGCCAGCGAGTGCCTGGCTGGGGGGTTCTTTATTTATTTATTTAAATCTTTATTGTTGAAAGTATTCCATAGGTCCTCCCTTTCCCCCTATTAACCTCTCCCAGCCCGCTCCTGGCAGAGGAGTTAAAAGGCTGTGTCTTTGGTGGTTTCAGAGATAAAACAGAAGGGAAGAGAGCAGAAAAGGCACAAAAAAGGGATGAGTCTCAACTCAGAGTATCCCCATATGAAGAAACAGTGTCCTTCACACTTAAGGGGAAGGAAAAATTAAAACTCAAATAAAAATTCAAAGCCATGTTCTGCAGGGGATGCCCGTATATCATGAATCTCGGGTAACAGCTCTCCTCCGGAATTCTGTAAGATTGACAACAAGGTCAAATGCTCCCTTCAAATTTTGCAACATTACTTCCTTCAGTGACCCTTTCCCATTGTAATGCAGCTCTGGCAGCCATTCCCGCTTCCAGGGGGGCCCCTCCATTTTCCTCTGGGGAAGCAACCCCGGGGCTGACCCACCCCTACCCAAGACTGGGCTTGTGACCCTGGCCCGTCCAATCTGAGCACAGCCACCCTTTGGCCACAGTGATTGGTTCAGAGACAGGCACAAAGCCCTAGCGTGGGAGAGCCCCACTTTGCCAGTGTCATGAGGATAGAAGTGCTTTCGTCTCCACTGTGAAAGCTGAGCTTTAACCAGGAGCTGCCCTGGCCAGCTTACCACACCTGGGAATAAAACTAAGGCAGAGAAAAACAGTGTTGGGGATGGACAGGCCCGGACTCCTGCTGACATCATTGGCTCCCTGCTAGTGTGTAGTTTCCAGGCCTCCGAGCCAGCAAATTTCCTTCTTTGCTCACCTTAGTTTGAGCTGGCAACCTCTTACCACCCAGGGAGCCCTGCTCTGTCCATTAACCCTACCTTGTTCTACTGACGAATAGTATAACTTTACTGTTTGCCCCCCCGAATCCTTATGAGCTAAATGTATTACTTCACTCTTACACATCCATTGCTTTGTACATGTACAGTCTTACAGGTATCTGCTTAATATCCCTAGTCCCAGACTGAAGGCTATATGCGAATAGCGGGAGTGACTTTCTCTTTCAGATGCCGCCACACCACCCGGTACAACGCTCAGCCAAGACTAAGCACTTAATTTATCAAGTATATTTATTGAGTGTCTTAATGGAGAGCTGGCTGTGGAGCCAGGAGCCCTCCTATGGATCCTGGCCCTGCCACTTTCTAGCCAAGTGAGCTCGGGGCAGTATCTCAACCCAAGTCACAGTTCACTCCTTGTGAAAAAGAGATAACGCCTTCCCCAACCTGACTTCATAGGATTGACACGAGGATGGAACCAGATTCCATGCGCGGATCCCTGGCAAATGTCAAGCAGCACACGGTTGCAAATTAGAATTAATATCCCAGCCAACAGGTACTTGGCCCTCCCTTCCACCTTGAGCCCCACTAAATCCCCACTCCCAGGTTAATAAATTAAAATTTTGTTTATGTCAACTCATAGATACAGAGAACATTATGATGGTTGCCAGATGGGAGGGGGGTTGGGTGAAAAGGAGAAAGGATTAAGGTGTGCAAGCTGCCAGTTATTAAAACAGTCATGGGAATGTAAAGTACAGTAAATAGAACATAGTCAATAATACTGTGTTAACTATGTATGGTGTCAGATATGGAAGCTGAACTTATTGGGGTGATCATTTTATAAGTTGTGTAAATGTCTAATCACTATGTTGTATACCTGAAACTAATATAATATTGTATTTATTGCATCCAATTGTAATTTAAATTTTTAAAAATTTTGTTTATATCTGTTTCTGCTAGAGTTTCCAACACCTTCCATACTTACAATGACTTCTAACCATCAGTTAAACATGCTGGTATTTTATGTGTATTTTTATTTGCAAATTATGTTCATTTTCTCTCTCTATGCACCCCCCAATATTACAAAACATGCACCAAAATTCAATTTTAAATGGATATGGTAAAGCTGAAATTACTAAGAATATTGTAAAGATATTTAAATTTATTTTTAATACAAAATTTAGTCTCGCTTAAATATGATGTTCCTAAAATTCCTGATGCTTATTTTTAAAATTATGATGGCATGTTTTGTTCATTACAATGGCTCCAAACTATCATTTGCTAAAAAGCTCAGTTTGATGTTCACTTAGGATGAGGCTCACTGCTAATATCAGTGACTATAAATCTTCATTTCATACAGAGTTCTTGATAATTTCTGCCCTCGTCAACTCACACTCCCTATCCTTGCTCACTTGGCTCTAGACATATTGGCCTCCTACCTATTCCTTGGACATTTCCAAACACATTTCCTCCCTGGGTCTTCACAGTCACCTTCTTGTCTCAGCTCACTGCACGCCTCCTCCCTCCCTTTCTTCAGGTCTCTGCTCAAGGTCTTGGCTTCCCTGACACCCCCACCCCAGTGATCTCCATCCCTGTGCCCTGCTTTATCCTTCTTCATAGAACTTATCACTCCTGGCATATTGTAGCACTTGTTATACTGACATATTATATATCTGTTTATTGTCTGTTTCCACCCTTAGGAATATAAACTCCATTAAGAGCAGGCACTTCTGTCTTGTGCTTATGGCTGTATCTTCAGTATCTACAACAACGTCTGCTATATTGTAAGCATTCAATAAATATTTACTATTAAGTCAGTGGTCACTAATTGCCTAATATCATTTCTGTACCTATAATTGGTTGGTATAGGGTGTTTTGGCTGATGGTGCTTTTATTTCTTGTTTCTTTTAGTTGTCTTCCTCATTAGGTTATGACTGTTGTGTTATGGCCGTGTCTACTACTGCTTTTTTTTTTTAAACACCCAAGAACTACTGAAATACTTACAGGGCAACTGTGACTTTTAATGACTAGTAATAGGGAATTTACATGAAAGAGTAGATGATGTTTAAAGCATTTATCTCATGGCATTGGTATATTGTTTGGTCCATCCACCGGAGGAATCTAAAATGCCCACAACCTCAGATGTGTGGGCCTCAAACCCAGAAAGGGAAGATCTTTCTTCTAATTTCAAGGCTGCCTCATAAACTTCACAGCGGGATGTGGTGTCTTCTGCATGCTAAGCAGCCGAGGGAGAAGGGAGAGGTCTTAAAACCAGAGCATCCTGATTCCTGTAAAATTATTGTTTTTATAATTCACATATTCTGAGTCTACTAATTTTTGTTTCTCTTCAAAGAAAAGACACAAAGATAAATTGGGGAGTCTTTAAAGCTCCAGACAAATGGGATCACGATGGAATTTCTTTGAGGGCTTCCAAAATACTTTGATGATGATGATGATGATGATGATGATGATGATGATAGCTAACACTCATTGAGCATTTACCACATGCCAGGCATTGTTGTAAGAATTCTGCATATGTTAACTTGGTATGATCATGAGAACACCCAGAAAAGCCAAAGAGAAAACCTGAAAAAAAGACAGCATAACCCCAAAGATCAAGAAAAATGACCCACAACGGAAAGTTATTAAGCATGTTTTAAAAAATGCAAAGTATTTCTTTCTTTATTTTCATTGTCCATAAAGGTGTTTAGGATGACTGACTGGTTTAACATTACATGGAATTTAATTCAATTCTCATATACGTAAGATATTTAATAATTTAGGAAAAAAGTTATTTTTATCTTGCAACTATATGAGAATATTTAATTTCTTGGTTTTGTTCATTTCATTGGGGTTTGTGGTTCAGTCAAGTTTTTTGAAAATGGATGCTTTGCAGGTGCAATGGGTCATGAAATTTTGAGGTTACTCTACTCTGTTCTGCTTTAGTTTATTATTTTTAAAAAACACTTTTATTGACCTCAGAGAGGAAAGGCGAGGGAGGGAGAGAAACATCAATGATGAGAGAGAATCATTGATCGGCTCCTGCACCCCTTCTACTGGGGACTGAGCCCACAATTCAGGCACGTGTCCTTGACCAGAATTGATCCCAAGACACTTCAGTCTGCAGGCCGACACTCTATCCACTGAGCCAAACCACTGAGGGCTATTCTGCTCTAGTTTATCATCTAAAGGAAAGGTTAAAGATGATGATTACCAGGAAGAACAAGGCTGACTCAAAGTCCTAGGGCACAGGTATATATGGTAGTCAACACCCTTTCTAGGCTGTGAGCTCCTCAAAGGCATGCCCTGTTCCTGTCCCTTTCTTTGCATCTCCAGCCCGCAGCCCGGGCCGGCACGTGGTGCTCATAAGGCCTCGTGAATTAATGAAGGCCAGGCAGTTGAAACGAGTTTATGTAGGAGTCAATAATGGAGCCAATTCCTTCCCAACCCCCACTAGGCATTGAATTAAAAAGAATTTGTATTTCCTGATGTTGCATTTCCTCTGGCCTAGGTGTCACAGATCAAGTCAGTGAGTCAAGTTATGCATTCCAAGAAAAGAAATCATCAAGGTAAATATTAAAACAAATGTTAAATAAGTAGTTATTATCTGATTTCTTTGGAATTGTAATTTGATCACGTAGCATCATCCTGGCAAGATTTTGTTTTATAAAAATGTAAGTATGCTATGTCCGCAATATGATTTGATTGCATTTAATGAAGAACTTCTTGTCAACCTGATCTGCTCAATCTATTTGTGGAAATCAGTGAATCAGCGGTTCTAATTGGTATTCTGTACCTCACCATATGACCTTAGGGGAACCTTAGTCTAGTTTTGGCTCAGTTTTATCATATATGAACTGGGAATAATTATTTTGTAATGTTTTTTACTAGAGAATGATCTTAAAAGATTCTTAGCTAAAACTGTTTCTAATTTAAGCACTGCAGTTACTGGTGCTGTAGAGTTCATGATAGAATCAAAATTGACAAGTATGATATATATCATTTTTTTAAATGTTTCTTCTGCATTTTGCTTAACATTTATACAAAATGTATCATAAAAACAGATTTTTACTTTTACTGTTGCTAAAGAAGAAATGCTTGAGTTAAGAAGTTCTACATTTATCACAATACAATAAATTTTATCTACTACCTAACAACTTTGATTCCTAGTTCTGAGATCTCAGTCAACTTACCTAACCTCTCTAAAGTTCAGATTCCTTCATCTCTACAACAAAAACAACACACTTTACCTACTGGAGTTGGTGTAAGGGTTTTTAAAAAAGACAATGTATGTGTGTGTGTGTGTGTGTGTGTGTGTGTGTGTGTGTGTGTGTGTGTGTGTGTGTGTGTGTGTGTGTGTGTGTGTTGGGGGAGGGGGAAATATGTCATATGCTTAGTCCTCAAAAAAGGTTAGTTCTATGACTGCTCCTAAAAAATGCTGCTAACAGGCTGAAAGTCCTGGGTTTAAACCAAAAGGTTCTAATTTTTTAGGAAGATATTTAAAATACTACACATTATCAAAATATTGATACACAGTTTAATAAAACTAGGGAACATATTCTTATATAAAAGCGTATAATATCAGCCTACTCCTAGTTGTAAACATAAACATTTAAAATATAACTCTAGAGCCACTTATGAATGATTTTCTAAGTTGCTGGAAGGTAGCTAATCTTTTTAATTAGCAAAGGAATGAGGGTAGAGAAAGTGCCTATTGTGTGCTCTACTGTGCGTCCGGTGGCCAGCAAAATACCTGGCCATAGTAGGTGCTCAATAAATATTTGTAGCCATGAATGCATAGACGGTGTACAAATGTTTGAATGAGAGAGATTTGTTTTGAATTACAGCTATATATTAGAAGAAGAAGAATATCTCTCTTCAAAGGTTGTTAAGAGAATCGAAAGAGGTAATATGGAAAAATTATCTGGCATGGGTATTAAAACATGTTTCCCTTAGTGCTGTTCATACTTTTGCTAATTTCATATTACATGTTAAGATCAAATAAGTATTCCAAATGACCAGATTATTAAACTGCCACAGGTATTCTACTTATATAGAGACCATACATACAGTAAAATCATACTCAATAAATCTTTGGCTGCTAGAGCATCAGTGCAGCCAAACTGGTCAGGAAAAGTAATTCCTTCTTCAAGGCTTTTTAAAGAAGTCTGCATTACTCGTTCAGGTTTCCTGCACGTGGCTTTCAGTTGCCTTTTTAGCTAGTGACCCTGGATTTGAACTAATGAATTCCAGCTGTTCCTACTTTGCCTTCCAGCCCTTCCCATTTAGCCTCCCGTCTCCCTGGCCTCACGTCCTTAAAGTTCTTACAGGAGAAGTGGGACAGTGCCAACGTTTTCCAGCGAGGCCTTCTATCTCCTTGAGGGGAGAAGGCGGCTCTAACAAGGGCCCACAGCTTCTGCACTGGTGGGAAAGGAAACACTCATTGTTGGAAATTAGATGCCTGGCGTCCTGCAATGTGTCCCCAATCCCTGTGTGTTTTTTCATATTGTGAAGCAACGCATTCAGTAAGGTAAGTCCATAAAGCCAGCCTACAAAGTCCACAGTTGAATCCTAAGTGTAATTGCAAACACCTGCGATGGAGAGCCAACTCCTGGTAAATGTGCAGTAAAAGAAACGCTTCGCATACAGAGCAACACGGGCCCAGCTTTCCTGAACCATGCTGAGAAGCATCGGGTGGCAACACTGGCAAAAAAGGATTGGTCAAATATCACCCCGAAAAACTGGGCTGCGGGCAAAATCTTGGAGTGAGGCAAGTCTGAAGCAACAGACAAGTGCATGGAGGATGGGGTGAACCTGGGCCTGGAGTCCCTCCCTGTGCTGGTGACCTGGGGACTTGGTTACATGCAGAAATGCTCCTTAACCTACATACATCTCTTTCTAAATCTGACCGTTCTTTAATGGGGACCACCGATAAGTGCATTCGTAAATGCAGTTTCCATTATATTAAAACCATGCTTTCGTCCAGAATGCACCTGATCCTACCAGGCTGAATCCCTAGATAACCTGACAGCCATTTGGCCCTTCCAGTTAAATTCAAAAGAACACATGTCCCAGGGGCTCTGAAAGACTTTTGAAAGTGGCATCAAATTCAGTTATAAACTCATTTTCTGAATTGCTTTTTTCCATGCCTGTTTGCATAGCCCATCCTTCCAAGCTCCTTTCAAAATCTACTCACTCCATTAGCCACACGGATGCTAACTGGTTCTCATCTCAGTTTATGTTGTATTTTTTTTAAAAAAAAACCTCCATTATAACACTGGTTGTAACTGGAACCATCTGCTCTGTTACATCTGAAAATGATATAGAGCAAAGATTGGGCTTCTTCTCATC